TATGCAAAGTGAAATAAGTCAGAGGCAGAAGGTCAAATACCGTATGATCTCACTCATTAAGTAGTGGGAAAGTATTTTCAATAAATGGTGTTGGTAAAACTGGACAACCACATGAAGAAGAATGAAAGCAGACGATTACACCATACTCAAAAATTAACTCAAAATGGACTAAACACTTTAATGTAAGACCTGAAACCATAAAACTCTTGGAAGAAAATATAGGCAGTACACTCTTTGACATTGGTCTTAGTAGTATCTTTTGAATATGATGTCTCCTCATGCAAGGGAAACAAAAGAAAAAATAAATGGGAATATATCAGATTAAAAAGCTTAGGCATGGCAAAGAAAACCATCAACAAAATGAAAAGACAACCCACCAACTGGGAGAAAATATTTGAAAGAGGTAAAGGGGCACATATGTATGGTGATGGATAAAAACTAGACTATTGGTGGTGAACACAATGCAGTCTATACAGAAACTGAAATATAATAACGTACAACTGAAATTTATACAATGTTATAAGCCAATATAACCTCAATAAAAAATAAAATAAAATGTACCTGTATTTCTCTATAGGAAAGGAATTTATGTCTTTATTATTATTATATTTAATATTATATTATTATCTTATTTATATATACATATATATGTATATGTAGTGTATCTCTATCCGTTCATCTGTGGGTGGACACTTGGATTGCTTCCAGCTCTTGGCTATTGTGAATAATGCTGCAATGAACATAAGGGTTCATATATCTTTTTGAATTAGTGTTTTCATGTTCTTTGGATAAATACCCAGTTGTGGCATAGCTGGACCATTTGGTATTTTTATTTTTAATTTTCTGAGGAATCTCCATAATGTTTTCCATAGTGGCTGCACCAGTTTACATTCCCACCAGCAGTAAACGAGGGTTCATTTTTCTCCACATCCTTGCCAACACTTGTTGTTTCTTGTCGTTTTAACAATAGCCATTCTGATGGGCATGAGATGATATCTCGTAGTTTTGATTTGCATTTACCTAATAGTTAGTGATGTTGAACATCTTTTCTTTTGCCTGTTGGCCATCTGTATCTGTTCTTTGGAAAAATGTCTGTTCATATCCTGCCCATTTTTTGATCAGTTTGTTTTTTTGTTGTTGAGTTGTATGAGTTCTTTATATGTTTTGGAAATTAACGCCTTGTTGGAAGTATGATTTGCAAATATTTTCTCCCAGTTGATGGATTGTCTTTTTGTTTTGTTGATGGTTTTCTATGCCTTGCAGAAGCGTTCTAGTCTGATGTAGTCCCATTTGTTTATTTTTTCTTTTGCTTCCCTTGCCAGAGGAGACATATTCGAAAAGATACTGCTAAGACCAGTGTCAAAGAGTGTACTGCCTATATTTTCTTCTAAGAATTTTATGGTTTCAGGTCTCACAATAAAGTGTTTTGTCCATTTTGAGTTAATTTTTATGTATGGTGTAATATAGTGGTCTACTTTCATTCTTCTGCACATGGTTTTCCAGTTTTCCCAACACCATTTATTGAAGAGACTTTCCTTTCTTCATTGTATGTTCTTGGCTCCTTTGTTGAAAATTAGCTGTCCTTATATGTGTGGTTTTATTTCTGGGCTGTCAGTTCTGTTTCATTGATCTGTGTATCTGTTTTTCTTCCAGTACCATGATGTTTTGATTGCTATAGCTTTTTAGTATATTTTTAAATCAGGGAGTGTGATACCTGCAGCTTTGTTCTTTTTTTCTCAGGATTGCTTTGGCTATTTGGGGTCTTTGTTGTTCCATATAAATTTTAGGATTCCTTGTTCTATTTTTATTAAAAATGTCCTTGAGATTCTGGTAGAGATTGCATTGAATCTGTAGATCGCTTGAGGTAATATGGACATTTAAAATATTTTAATTTTTCCAATCCATGAGCACAGAGTACCTTTCTATTTCTTTATGTCTCCTTCAATTTCTTTCAACAAGGTCTTACAGTTTTCAGTGTACCGGTCTTTTGCCTCCTTGCTTAAATTTATTCCTAGATGTTTTATTCTTTTCACTGCGATTGTAAATGGGCTTGTATTCTTGGTTTCTCTTTCTGCTAGTTCCTTGTTAGAGTATAGAAACACAACTGATTTTCGTCAAGGTTATTATTATTATTATTTTATTTATTTTTAATTTTTTGTTTATTGCAGTAACATTGGTTTATAACATTGTATAAATTTCAGGTGGACATCATTATACTTCTATTTCTGCATAGATCACATCATGTTCACCGCCCAAATACTAATTACAACCCATCACCACAATGTGCCGAATTATCCCTTTCACCCTCCTCCCTCCCCAGTTCCACTCTGGTAACCACCAATCCAATCTCTGTCTCTATGTGTTTGTTTATTGTTGTTGTTATGTACTACTTAATGAAGGAAATCATACGGTATTTGACCTTCTCCCTCTGACTTATTTCACTTTGCATAATACCCTCAACGTCCATCCATGTTGTCTCAAATGGCTGGATTTCATCGTTTCTTATGGCTGAGTAGTATTACATTGTGTATATATACCACCTCTTCTTTATCCATTCGTCCCTTGATGGGCACTTAGGTTGCTTCCAAGTCTTGGCTATTGTGAATAAGGCTGCAATGAACACAGGGGTGCATGTACCTTTACAAATTGGTGTTTTCAAGTTCTTTGGATAAATACCCAGCAGTGGAATAGCTGGAT